TACGTCTGAAATCCTGAGGGGAGGTATTTAATAATCGGGGATTGAGCCATGAAGGCTCGGCTTATGCCGAGCATTATCTACACGCTCGAGGGGATCAGTCTTCAAGAGATTTGATGGGATAGCATTCAGTATGCCTAATTATGAGTGCAGACCATTAAGCTCTGGGATGAGACTTAAAGGCCCTATCATCATTACGAACTTAGGTATAAATACCCCTCAAAAAGTTGGTCCAAGGTACACAATTCTAACAGAGAAAATACACTATGTTCATGAACCTCATGCCGACTAACTTAAGTTTTGGAGGGGATTAATTCAGGTTCAACGCTCCTTAGGATAATTACTCATATCGCTATCCCAACTCATTACAAGAAATCACCCGCATAAGTAATAAGGACAAGTTACNGAGTTTTGGAGGGGATTAATTGGGTACACACCCGACCCCCTTTGTCTAATCATTTGTTTCAGGTTCAACGCTCCTTAGGATAATTACTCATATCGCTATCCCAACTCATTACAAGAAATCACCCGCATAAGTAATAAGGACAAGTTACAAAGATTATCTAATCAAATGGATCTGTCTTTTGCAAAAAAAAAAATGATGAATCCCACAACCATATCTTATTTGAGTGTGAATTTTCAAACNCTGTTGTATGTCTTTTGCAAAAAAAAAAAAATGATGAATCCCACAACCATATCTTATTTGAGTGTGAATTTTCAAACAGAGTTTGGAAGCTTGTGATGCCCNGAGTGTTATAACGCCAACTTGATATCTTCGGCAAATCCCAAGAGTGCTTATTCCCGAGTTGTGAACACTTGGGAATAGGTCTGAAATCCTGAGGGGAGGTATTTAATAATCGGGGATTGAGCCATGAAGGCTCGGCTTATGCCGAGCATTGTCTACTCGCTCGAGGGGATCAGTCTTCAAGAGATTTGATGGGATAGCATTCAGTATGCCTAATTATGAGTGCAGACCATTAAGCTCTGGGATGAGACTTAAAGGCACTATCATCATTACGAACTTAGGTATAAATACCCCTCAAAAAGTTGGTCCAAGGTACACAATTCTAACAGAGAAAATACACTATGTTCATGAACCTCATGCCGACTAACTTAAGTTTTGGAGGGGATTAATTCAGGTTCAACGCTCCTTAGGATAATTACTCATATCGCTATCCCAACTCATTACAAGAAATCACCCGCATAAGTAATAAGGACAAGTTACAAAGATTATCTAATCAAATGGATCTGTTGTATGTCTTTTGCAAAAAAAAAAAAATGATGAATCCCACAACCATATCTTATTTGAGTGTGAATTTTCAAACAGAGTTTGGAAGCTTGTGATGCCCCAAGGTTTCCACATATGGATTCAAGGTGGGAGACAATGGCTTGAGATGATTGAGTTGGCAACCCTACAATGGAAAGGAAAAGGAATGAATGCCACTATCCTTAAGTTGTGCTTGTCTGCCACAGTGTCTCACATGTGGAAAGAAAGGAATGCAAAGGTGTTTAGGAACTAGCATTTGGATCCACATGCAGTGTCCCAAGTCATCAAGCAAATGATCAGAGAAAAGCTCTTTCCATTGAAATTCAAGAGGACTCAACAGAATTTTCTCCTTGTTCAGCAATGGAATTTGCCAGAAGCTTGTTTAGCTTAATGTGCTCTGTGTGAATTGGCTCAATTGACTGAAAAAAGGTTCAGCTGGAAGTACTGGCTCAAGGTCTATACCTCCAGTTGAACTCCAAGTCTTGCAATTAACCTTTTGTTTCTTTGTTTTTTTTGGTTCAACTAAGCAGGCATTACTTTGCCTAGCTCTATTTTGTATTAAGGAGCTTTTACATGTACTCTATTGTGAATCCTTTTTTGTTTCAATACTAGCTAATTCAATTTATTTTCCGAAAAAAGATTGTTGCTTGTTCAAGTTGATCATTTAGCAATCGTCTATGAATTATTTGTCATGTTTTGTTCTACATATATAAAATCAAACTAGCTCATTGTTTTCTACATCATGGGAAAATTATAAGATTCGTGTAATAATTTTCATCCAACACTATTAAATTTACCACGAATCCGACAATATGCCATAAAATTTGGTCAACGAATAAATGATAAAATTGTCATTTTGCATTTAAACTGANCTTTGTTCTACATATATAAAATCAAACTAGCTCATTGTTTTCTACATCATGGGAAAATTATAAGATTTGTGTAATTATTTTCATCCAACACTATTAAATTTACCACGAATCCGACAATATGCCATAAAATTTGGTCAACGAATAAATGATAAAATTGTCATTTTGCATTTAAACTGAAAAAGGTAAAAATTGTCGTTTGCGTGAAAAAAAAAATCATTATCAACCTTTGAGAAATCATTCTCAATTTGTCGTTACATTACAGATAATTAATTTCGTTCCCCACTTATTTATCATGCAAACACTATAGATTCTTGATAATCATTTTAATCTTTTTGAAGCCTTTTATCTCCAAAAAGAGGAAAAAAAATAATTTCAAATTTGGTGAATAAACCTTTCTGACATATGGCATCGAGCGACTTCCCAGATTGAAGTGAATTGTTGTTTGTGTTAAAACAGTATTTGTCATTTGAGTAAACCATTTAGAAATTTTTGAGAAGTCAAATTCAGATTTGACTTGTGGAGAAACCTTTGAAACATATGGCAATAAAGGACTTCCAAGTTGACAAGAAATTTTTGCTTCTGTTTAAATAAAAATTTGTCATTTGTGTCTATATATATTTAGAAACTTTTATAAAATCATTTCTAATTTGTCGTTACATATCACATGACTATTCTCACTTGCTTACCAACAAATGTTTTAAATTCTCCTCTCCAATTTTTTGAATGCATATACGACTTTTATCATGAAATCAATAAACAATGCAAGAAATTGGTGACCTAATTTTTCTTTTTTTACATATTGCATTTAGCAACCTTTAAGATTGATAAAAATTGTTGTATTGTGCAAGGGCTTTTTGTTTTTGAATGTGTTGTGCAAGTTCATAGTGTAAAAGTGTTCAAGGCATCTCACCTTTAAAAGGTTGTGCCACAATTATTATGTATGTCACTTCTTCACCCTTGAAAAAGGGTATACAAACAACCATCCATATCAGTGTTAGCATGAAATTTTCATAATGCTATCCAAGGAATTTGGAATTTTCAAGATGTACAAAACCTAAGATAGAGTAGTATTTTTTGTTCATTGCGAGTTTAATTAGCTTACTATATTTCACATATTAAACATCATCTATTTAGTTGCCGCAAAAAGGTATGCATTCTTTTCTTTTTCAATCCCACAAAGGTATGTGTGTAAAATTCTGTTTTAATGACAACAACGGTGCATTTCTAAATTTAAATTGCTCTAAAAAATTACCCTCACACTGCAAGAAAAAAGATATTTTATCAGCATTTATTAAACGCCGATAAATATAAATAAATGTCACAAAATATTATTATTGACATTTGTCATTAACGTTGCTGAAACCTTCGTCGAAAGAATTACCGACATATAATTAAACGTCACAAAAATTAAAGTGGCATTTCCTATCCAATAAAGCGGTGCTTATTTAATCGACGAGTTTCTTTTAAAATTTCGATAACCGGAGCTAATTTACGGCGTTTATTTAAACACAAATAATTATTATTTCTGACAACTAGTTTCTGCCGTTTATTAATGATATTTTTTTTAATAAATCAACACAAAAAAATTTGTCATACAATTTGCTTCCCTATAAACAGTCTGCTCAAAATTTCTAAAACACTCTGTTCAAAAAATTCAAATAAGAAAACAATAAAATTTAAAAAATTTCAAACCAAAATAAGTTAAACGGTACAAATTAAATATCGAATTTGCCCATATTTCTTGTAGTGTCAAGCAATAGTAAAAATTGAACTAACATCCAAACAAAATTATGGTAGTGAAGAGAGTGAAAATTAAGGATGTTCGTAGCCGTCATTCGTTTCACATACAACCCCATAGAAAAATAAACAAGAATCTCTCTCTCTCTCCCCCTCCCTCTCCTCTCTGGATAGCAATAACACTTCTTCTCCATTTAATGCAATTGCACCATCTCTATACACCTTGCAATTACTCCTCGCTGCCACATTTTTCTCCTTATGTTTCCCACTTTCTCCTTCCTTTTCCCCACTCTCCTCTTTTTCTCTCATTCTTCTTATCTCCTTCGGCCTGTTCACTTTCCCTGTGTCACTTTCTCTCTCATCGTCATCTCTCTATCTGCAAACATTGGCATTTTCTCGACCAACCTCTCCATATAAACCAACCAAATTCGCTTGTTCAGACACACATTTGCGCTGTCAACAAGAGAGTCCTAAACAGATCTGAGACCCCTCCCCTTCCAAAGTTTGTTCCAAGAGGTTTGCAAGGCCTCTCTTGACATTCTTGTGCTGTTCAGGTTCTTGACTACAAGTACCTGTAGATACAGTTCAGCTTTACTTTCTCTTTCTTACAACATTTTAGAAACAACAATTTGTGATCTCTTGTGGTGTTTGTTATGTTGTTATACATGTCCGATTATATTTCCGTTTGTATCTTGGGGAGACACTCGGGGAGAGAGAGAGCGGCAGAGGTTTTGTTGGACGCTCCTGGATCTTCGTGGTTAATGTTTCTCATTTGTTCTTGTGTCTGGTAATCATGTCTATCAAAGGCCGTAACAAGCTTTGTCAACCCAGCCTGGTGTTTTTTTTTTTATTCTCTTTCCTGTGGAAAACCCAAAAAAAGATCAGGTAGACCTGAGAGACTCCCATTTTAAAGGCAAAAACTCAGAGTCAGCTCTGCCTGTTGGTTTTGCTAAATCTAATTCAATTTGCTCCCTCAAATAGTCTTTAACTCTATCATCACCATTCAAATGAGGACAGAAAAAACAAATGGACCACTAGCACAAGCAGAGTGACATAGACAGACATGCATATCTATACATACATATAAATAAAATTATGTATATTTATTCTCTCACATATATGTGAATTGATTAGGGTTTCCAGGGAGTTAATATGCCCGCTGGAATAATGATTCCGGCGAGACAGACCTCGCCGATGATAGGAGTTAACGGGAATGTTGGTGGATATGGATCTTCTTCTGGGCTTACTCTTGGTCAGGTCAACCCTTGAAAACTCTTCACATCCTCGATAATCACTCGTTTTCTTCTGATCTAACGTGGGTTTTGCAGGCTTATTTTTTTTTTCTAATTTTCTCTGAATTTTTGGTACTTGCGAATTCATGGGTTCACACTTTTTCTAATCAAATTTTTTTTCGTCTAAATTCTGAAATTATTCACTTTACTAACTCTCTTCTTTTATGACATCATACAAGGCATAGTTCTCTTTTTATTTCACTTGCTAAATGGTTTCTTAGATTAATGAATTGTTCTTAGCAAAAGTCATTTACCTTTTCAATTAAAATCCATCTCGAAATTCGAAAAACGCACACGGTCTTCTATCTACAGAGCACAGAGAGAGAGAGAGAGAGAGAGAGAGAGAGAGAGAGANACTTTCTCCTTCCTTTTCCCCACTCTCCTCTTTTTCTCTCATTCTTCTTTTCTCCTTCGGCCTATTCACTTTCCCTGTGTCACTTTCTCTCTCATCGTCATCTCTCTATCTGCAAACATTGGCATTTTCTCGACCAACCTCTCCATATAAACCAACCAAATTCGCTTGTTCAGACACACATTTGCGCTGTCAACAAGAGAGTCCTAAACAGATCTGAGACCCCTCCCCTTCCNGTCAACTGCTTCATACTCATTTCTTACATTTTCAACATGGGTTTTCTTTGAAAACATATATAGACCATTATACTTGGCAAAATTGTAGTCGGTTTTTATGTCTGGCTATGATAGGGTTATGTTTTTCTCTCCTTCCATATCAGTTCAAGTTTTCTATGTAGGACAAGCATTTTTTTTTTTTTTTAGTTTTCATTTTCATTGTATTCCTTACTTTTTAGATTGAAAATCAGTAAGCTTCATTATCTTAAAGATCTCTAGACATGTTCCAGCAAAATATAATGGACGGCCAGCTTCACCTTTTGGATATGGGTCAAAACACATCTGAAGGCGATATGGCTAGGTTGAGAGACGATGATTTCGAAAGCAAGTCCGGCAGTGAAAATAATGACGGTGCCTCCGGCGAAGATCAAGACCCTAATCAGAGGCCAAAGAAAAAGCGCTACCATCGCCACACTCAACATCAGATACAAGAAATGGAAGCGTAAGCTCTTAGCACATTCTTAAAGATCTCGATGGATCCTATAGTATTTCTATCACATTATTTTGTTTTAGTTAACTCTCGAAAATTGAATTTATTTTAGTGGTTGTATTTTTAATTGGTTTTTTTTGTCTGCATTATTTTTTCTTTTGTTGGCTTGGTCTTATTAGTTTCTTCAAGGAGTGTCCACACCCAGACGACAAGCAAAGGAAGGAACTGAGCCGTGACCTAGGGTTGGAACCTTTGCAAATCAAGTTTTGGTTCCAAAATAAGCGTACCCAAATGAAGGTAAGACAGCTTTTGCATTCCCATTATTTAGGCTATGTGCTTGTCTAGACTTAGACAAGTTAGTTTGAGGAAGAATTCTATTGAGATTTTAAAATTTGATTTAATTTAATGTTGTGATTTTATTTTAATGGTTGGATGAATATTAAGTTCTAATATTTAGTGGACTTACGGTCAATTTAAAGACTATAATATTAAATTAAGTAGGATAGTTCAAGTAGTAACAGAGACGATCTATAATCTGGATGTTTTGAGTTTGAATTTTGGGACAAAATTATGNCTTTAAAATTTGATTTAATTTAATGTTGTGATTTTATTTTAATGGTTGGATGAATATTAAGTTCTAATATTTAGTGGACTCACGGTCAATTTAAAGACTATAATATTAAATTAAGTAGGATAGTTCAAGTAGTAACAGAGACGATCTATAATCTGGATGTTTTGAGTTTGAATTTTGGGACAAAATTATGACTGATTTATTCCTCACAAATATCCTAATTTCGATGTGAATAATTTACTATTGACTGGACCAGAAAATAGATCATTAAGGTGCGTATAAACTAGCGTAGACACCCCTCATCATTGAAAAAAATATATATATATTAGTTCCTAATAGCATTGATCTAGTGCAATACATCCCAAATTTTTGTTTTGGATTCTTGTGCCTTGNTTGATTTATTCCTCACAAATATCTTAATTTCGATGTGAATAATTTACTATTGACTGGACCAGAAAATAGATCATTAAGGTCCGTATAAACTAGCGTAGACACCTCTCATCATTGAAAAAAAAATATATATATATATTAGTTCCTAATAGCATTGATCTAGTGCAATACATCCCAAATTTTTGTTTTGGATTCTTGTGCCTTGGCTTTATCGAAGGAACCGTTACAGAGATTTAGAGTTTAGACTTTTGTGAGTATCTGCGTTCACATTAGTCCTTTGGGGACTCGTGTGTGGCATTTGGGGTTGCATTTTTGGAGTCAAGCTGATACGTGGGTGTGTTTTGAATTTTATTGTGTATTTTTATTTTGCGGGACTAACAAAATTATTCGCAGACCCAACATGAGCGGCATGAAAACACACAGCTTCGAACTGAGAATGAAAAGCTTCGCGTAGACAACATGAGATACAGAGAAGCTCTTAGCAACGCCTCTTGTCCTAATTGTGGAGGTCCAACTGCTATAGGAGAGATGTCATTCGATGAACATCATCTGAGGTTGGAAAATGCTCGTTTAAGAGAAGAGGTATCGTGGGTATTTTTCCATATTTTGTTGTATCTGATGACAAGTAAAACTATGGTACTGATTTTGGTATCTTACCAAAAATTGCAAATAAACACGTTTAATTATTCGTGTTAAACTAACCTTATTGGGTCGTAACATCATGTTTATTCGGATAAATTTTGGTAAGATGCTAAAAAATTTCTATTCAGTACCATAGCCATATCCATCTAAGTACCAGCTACATATGATGATGTTTTATAGTAGTAAAACAGTTGATATTGCAAGTTTTATTTGTTTGGTTTTAGATTGATCGGATTTCAGGAATAGCTGCAAAGTATGTGGGCAAGCCTGTGGTGAACTACCCCATTATTTCACCTCCCATGACTCCTCGTTCACTTGATCTTGGTGTTGGTCCGTTTGGGGGCCAACCTGGGATTGGAGGGGACATATTGTATGGAGCAGGAGACCTACTCAGGTCAATCAGTGGACCTTCTGAGGCTGATAAGCCAATGATAATTGAGCTTGCAGTTGCAGCCATGGAGGAACTGATAAGAATGGCACAGGTGGGGGAGCCATTGTGGTTGCAAGGCATTGATGGCACCAACAGTTTGCTAAATGAAGAAGAATATATAAGGACATTTCCTAGAGGCATTGGACCGACTCCTATCGGGTTTAAATGTGAAGCATCTCGAGAAACTGCTGTTGTGATTATGAACCACCTTAGTCTCGTTGAGATTCTCATGGATGTGGTAGGTTTGTTATTCAATTCACTAGCAATAAATGTTCTTTAAGTTCATATTGCTAACAGAATCAGTTTCCTCTACCGGCTGTGAATGTGATAAACAGAATCAGTGGTCGACTGTGTTTTCTGGAATAGTCTCCAGAGCCATGACACTGGAAGTCCTATCAACTGGGGTTGCTGGGAACTGCAATGGAGCCTTACAAGTGGTATGGTTGAGCTTCAAATTAAAATTGTATAAGAAATTACAAATATTACAACGAAACTCAAAACAAGTCGGAAGGGGCCACACATATCAAATCTCATCAGACAAAAACTCTTCACAACCTAGTCTAACAGATAAAGCTAAAAGATTTATATATTCACAATATCATTCTTAATGTACATTCATTATTTATTTATTTTTCTTTCAGATTACTGCAGAATTTCAAGTCCCTTCACCACTCGTTCCAACTCGTGAAAGCTACTTTGTAAGGTATTGTAAGCAACATGGTGAGGGGACTTGGGCAGTGGTTGATGTTTCTCTGGACAATATACGCCCCAGTCCATTAGTGAGATGTCGGCGCAGGCCATCTGGATGCTTGATCCATGAAATGCCGAATGGATACTCAAGGGTACTGAATAAATATCTTTATGACTCCATGGTTACTCAATACTGCTAAATCTAGTAATTTGATTGCATTATTATGATGATTTCTATGGTTTAGGTTACATGGGTTGAGCATGTTGAAGTGGATGACAGAGGAGTTCATAATATATACAAGCCCCTAGTTAATTCTGGCCTTGCTTTTGGTGCAAAACGTTGGGTCACTGCTCTTGATCGTCAATGCGAACGCCTTGCAAGTGCCATGGCAACAAATGTTCCTGCCAATGACATGAACAGTATGCCCGATTACAATTTTCCTTTCATTAAGAATCATGTTTTATGAATTGCTTGCAGTATCCGAGTCTCAGTCAACTGAGATTTCGTCTAAATGTAATTTAGTTGATGTTATTATTGTTCTTTATTTGTACCTGTGCAGTGATAAGAATTATGGTTTAAGTAAACCCGCATCTTGACAATCTCAAGACAGTTAGGTTTTAAAATGCTATCTATTCAATTAATGTTTTTCATTTGTTCCTGTATAGTGATCACAAGTCTAGAAGGTAGAAAGAGTATTTTGAAGCTGGCTGAGAGAATGGTCATAAGCTTTTCAGCTGGAGTGAGCGCCTCTACTGCTCACACATGGACGACGCTATCTGGAAGTGGAGCTGATGATGTGAGGGTCATGACACGGAAGAGTGTAGATGATCCAGGCAGACCTCCTGGTATTGTGCTAAGTGCTGCAACTTCTTTCTGGCTTCCGGTTCCACCATACAGGGTGTTTGATTTCCTCAGGGATGAGAACACTCGATGTGAGGTATTTAAATGCAAGTTATTTGAACTATCTGGATCAGAAAATAGTTGTGGTATTGAATTGATGAATTATAACATAATCACATGACTCGTTTTTTGGGAAGCTAAACAGTTAATGAAGCAAAAAACACCAAAGGAACAAGTGTGCTCAAGAAGGTAAAATGATTGAAGCCAATGACATAGTCTACATAAGAAATTACTCTCACAAATTGAGACTAGACCAAAAGTGCCTAATAGCGTAGGAAAACTAATCGGGTAGCGAATCCAATCCTCAGCTAAACCAAGCCCCGGGTGGTAGCCTAATCGAAGAAATTGAGCTTGTGCCCAAGCATGCCTTTTTACAAAATCTCAACGTGGAATACAGGAGGTTTGGAACTAAATTCTTATAGTTTAACAATGAATACAAATTATAGTGTAATTGCTATGGTGGTTCATGTACGAGTTCATCCCACGTCCGCAGTAGAAATAACTGAAAGGGCCATCAACATACTGTGAATTAGTTCATCATGTATAAGTACATAAGTATTGTTGAAATTCTTCCTGAGTAGTCAATACATATCTGATGGCTGAATGTCTCGCAATCACAGTGGGACATTCTTTCTAACGGAGGGGCTGTTCAAGAAATGGCACATATTGCGAATGGCCGTGAAACTGGCAATTGTGTGTCATTACTGCGAGTAAGCGTAAGTTTAAGATTATCTTTCTCATTTTTCAAGAGAATGATCTTGTACTCTAAACAAGTATTTAGTCATTGAACTAACTAGCCAACAAAAATTCAGAGTACAAATTCCAATCAAAGCAACATGCTGATCTTACAAGAAAGTTTCATCGATCCAACAGCTTCATTTGTCATCTATGCACCTGTCGATATTGCTGCCATGAACGTGTTACTAAGTGGTGGTGACCCTGATTATGTGGCCCTTCTTCCCTCTGGATTTGCGATACTCCCGGACGGACCTCTATCGCAAGGTGGTGGCGTTGGTGATGCTGGCTCTGGTGGATCTCTACTCACAGTTGCATTTCAGATATTGGTCGATTCGGTTCCTACAGCAAAACTCTCTCTTGGATCTGTTGCTACAGTTAATAATCTCATTACTTGCACAGTTGAAAGGATTAAGGCTTCAGTGGCAGGCGAGGCTGCATGAACTAAAAGCCTAAAATGTGTGTAAGTTTATTTGTTTTTTAGCTTTATATTGAAGAATGTTATTTGTTGATGAACATGTTAGATCTATTCATGATGTAAAGCCAAGCTAGGTCTCTCAAGTTCTATGCTGTAAAGCTAGGTTTTTTCCTTTTGTTACTATGTTTTTAGCATACATGTAAAGCTTGGGTTTATCCCTCTGTGATCAATAGAATTTTACTTTCTAAAAAATACATGTAAAGTATTTAATTTGTGTCACTTTGGTTCCTATATTGGCGAACTGTCAAGTTTTTTCAATGGAAGTGATCACATGTTATTTTTTAGATGGTACCACGTGCTCAACACGTGATCATTTCATCAAAAACTTAACAGTTAGTCTATATAAGAATCATTTAAACACGAATTGAATACTTTAAAAACTAAACTGATAAAATATAAATACTTTAGGGGACTAATAGTGCTATTAACTATATCTAATAACTCTAAGCTTGTTCTCATATTTATCATCTTGAGAAAAATTTCAAGTTAATTTCAATTTGAGGATATTTTAGAGGACTTCTTTGTGAATTATTGGCTAGTAAATGAATAGAAGATTATATTAATTAGTTACATTTTTCTTAGCTTCTAAAGTCGAGGCATTTGTGCTTGTTGATTCTGGTTATTGTGCTTCTCCCATTGTTTAAATACGATTAAATTTCTTCGATATTATTCTCTAAAGAAGTGTAAAAGGAGTGTATTGCTTCTTACTTATGCAACGTTTTATTATTTTTGATTTTAATATATGATAGGTGCATTGTCAATCCGACAAGTAGCTAATTGTGTACATAAATCGGGTTCAAGAAGCATTATTAGTATAAAAGAGATGGAAGGAAAAACAAGCGTCTTCATGATAATCTGCTTCTTTCTTCACGGTTTAAATTTGGGTTTGTTGGATTGCTATCAACTGATTGACTTTCCTTCCACCTGGTTGCAGTGAACAGAAGGGAAAAATAACAGAAAAAGAAAGGAAGGTGATGGAAATTCTCAGCTATATAGGAGATAGAAAGAAGTCAAGAGCGCACCCTACTTCTTCCTTTGACTATGGTGTTTGTGTTTGGAGCATATAAGCTGCCTAAGCATTTCCCAAATTTTGCAAGGATTAAGAGGTTCGGGTATTGACTTCTCCAAACAAAGACGATATGCAGAATATTAATGTTGCGTAATATATAGGTTGGAATTGATCTGCACCTTTATGCTTTGTTGTTTAGGGTTTTGGACTTTGTGTTATCTTGTTCCTTTCTTCCTTGTTTGTGTGTGTTTTTTGAAATTTCCTTGATTGAAACAGCTTAAACATGTAGCAGACTTTTGGCTCTTTATTTTTTTTTTCTTCCCGTTAGAGATATTTTGAAATAGTTTTTTTATTTGTGTTGCATTTTTGTTGGGCTTGTTTACACTTGTTTAAGTGTTTCTTTACTTAACTTGTAGCTGATTGATCTTTTAGTGTTGGTGGGACCATAATTATGGGGGACTCCTTTAATTTGTTGCATATCAGGGACTATGAACATCAACCAATATTATAGTTCGGAATGTATTGTTTTGCCAGTCACAAGGGGCTAATGAAGGATAGAGAATTGTTTCCTACAAACCCAGGCTAGATCTTTTTCCGAAAGCTAGAAATTTTATTTTGAAAAAAGGATGAGATAATACATTATAGCTCAATACACGCCCTGCAACACAAACACTTGTCGAGAGCAGTCCTACATTTGCCCCCTAAATCTAAGGATCACCCAAAAACACAGGATAAACACTTGCCTATCTAGTAACGAATGACATTACTCAAGGCAACGACAACAAATCCAGCCATCAAGTAGCAGCTCAGGGAATTGGCAATATATGTTGAAGCTAAGGGATTTGGTTAGGCCTTATTTGATCCACTCAATAAGGAATAGAGAGACCACAAGTTTCTGGTATGACAATTGGCACCTTAGAGAGGCCCCTTATTCTGGAGCCACAAAATTGTTGTTAATTCTAGACTTTCAAAGGAGGCCAAAGTGAGTAGAATCATCTACAACAACCAGTGGCAGTGGCCTCGTACTTCAACAATTGAATTACGTGAAATTTCAAGTTCTATGCCTTCTTATACCCCCAACCAGGCCATAATGGATGGTGTCAAGTAGATAAATTCTCTATTGCATCTGCATGGAAGTCATCAGTGATAAAGTAGTATACTAAAAATTTGTTTTTTTGTAGTGAAACTAGTTTTATTAATTAATAAAAGTTTATTTTTTTCATTTTATTGAGAATCTATATGGGCAAAATATTTGCATTATATTTAATATATGGTATGCATGTGTGTCTTAAATTTACATTGTATATAATCTAATATGTAAAGTTCGGTTTATACACAGAATACCAGATTATTGGATCCTTATATAATATGAGTATATGTTCACAATCCTAGATGTAATTGAATACGCCATTGGTATGATTGTAGTGTAATATTCTGGCATAGTCTGTCTTGACTGTAAAAGACTGTTTGATGTCTTAGATTATTGTACTAGTACACTTTGCATATTGAACAGACTCATGTTAAGGTTATTATTTTTTACTGGTTCAATAAGATAATAAATACCTTATAATTATTATGATTGTTTATGCTCTTAATACCAAAATATTTAATTGTCACATGCATATAATATTTGTCTCTTTAATTCATCAAATGGTGAAATTCATTTTTAGTTAATAAGCTCGGTAAATTGGGAGACGATATTATTTATATGATAGAAATTAAATATTAAAAGAAATTACGTTCTAATATTTAAATGGGTTGATGATATCCTTTTGAGGAAGCTTATAAGTTTTGTTCATATCAAACCCTACAGGTAGATTTAATTATCCAACATGACAAATAAATTGAGTGGTAATGTCTCAAGGAATAAAAAAAGTCAATTAAATATAATTGTCAGTAATTTATTTAATGAACATCTGTAATCTTAAACGTGTGGAGATTATTAAACATATAATAAAAAGAGGCTCGAATATAATTTTAAAATAAGGCTCAGAAGATCAATAATAAGTCTTTAGTGAACTGATTTAGTATTAGTGAGTTGTAAAATATTTGTTTTGGTTGAACATAGGATTTTTAAGCTCATTGAAAATCCGATCCTTATTTCTCCTTAAAGTCTCTATCGTAGCCTGTATATAGACGTCTAGGCTCTCTTATTCAGCATCTATTATTTACTCACATTTTTTAGAGAGACTAAAAGAGAGAGCAATGATTTGGAGGTCTTGACAGCTCACATTGCATCCGGATTCTAACGTTTAGGGATGTACGACAGCAGGTCGCAAGGTTCATTTAACTGTCCTTCAGTTGCTTGTTGATTTTGTTCTGCGTTCGTGCTGAGACGAGATCAATCCTGAGAGATCTTAAATGTAAACCCTAATTTTGCCTTGTAGGGTATTAAAGAAAAAAATTTTATATTTGGCACTGTCAACGACTCTTGGGATTTCGGTTCCAACAATTAGGAATCCAGCCCCAAAAGTGTCATGGTTTTAAACTTGTTTGGTTCAACCAGGATGTGCCCAGAAATGAGTTTTATAATGTGGTTGGCTGTCAAAATTAGGCTCAGCACTAAGGATAGATTATTTAATCCTCGTGTGGGAGTGAACTGCATTCTTTGCAAAGGGACTGCTAAGACTTTTGCCCATCTTTTCTTTAAGTGCGTCTATTCTTAGAATATATGCCATCAACTACAGAACATGTGCTCCCAACCTTGGCAACCAAGGACATGACAAGTGTTCATAGCTTGGGTAGCATAACATTGGAAAGGCAAATCCTTATTGATAATGTTGCAGAAATTAAGCCTTCAAGTGACAGTATACACCTATGGAGAGAGAGAAATAATATAATATTTAGGAATGAATTCAAAGTTCCAGAATCAACACTACACATCATCTTGCAAATCATTAGGGATAACTTGGCCTCCTTGAAGTTCAGGAATCCCTTTCATATCAGCAAGTGGCACAACAGTGGTAATTACCAATCCAATGCCTTGCTCCTTGAAGATTCTTGTGGCTGTGTCTTTACTGCCATTCTTTTGGTATCCCCTGGACTCATTGATTTAGGATCTGACATGAATCCAGAGTCATGAACGTCCAGAGTCATGAATGTAGTTGGAATTTTTTTGTGTTATGTATGTGATGGTGTATTTCAATGTGATGCAATTTTGGGGTTATTGGGATCTGAGCTACTAGACTCAAGGGAATGATACTGAGAATTGTTAGGGAGTTGGGGAATTAACATAGTAGAAATATAGTGGTTCACCAGCTCAGGAGCTCGGCTAATCCACTCTTCAATGGAGACTCTTGCTTTTTCCTTCACTATTTACTATACCAAAAGATTTACAGAATGTAAGATGTGATACTAGGGTTCTCGCCCCTCTATTGGGGGCGTCACATAGTATTTATAGGGGTGACCCTTAATCTATAGGATCTGATCCGTGATCCTCGCCATCTATCCGAGGAATTCTCTTTGATCTTAGGAGAGTATCTTGGTTGGTTGAAGATTTTGTGCCTTGAGTATTACTTCAAACTGCCTGTAAAGTTCTTTGTAGTATTCAATTGTTTCTTCATTGCTTCAGCTTATTATCTCGCTTAAGGGGAGCTTTAACNGAGGAATTCTCTTAATCTTAGGAGAGTATCTTGGTTGGTTGAGGATTTTGTGCCTTGAGTGTTACTTTAAACCATCTGTCGAGTTCTTTGTAGTATCTAGTTACTTCCTCATTATTATCTCGCTTGAGGGGAGCTCTAGCTCTAGTTTTCTGAGCTTTGCATAGCTCTGACTTTTTAAGCTCAGCATACCTGACCTCCATGTTTGACCTCCGTTCCCGAGCTCCTGCTCGAGAATCATTTTGAGTATCATCAGTTGCCCCCCAGCTCTTGGCCGAGCTGACTTGGGCAAGGGCTGAACTTAGGATGTAACAGTAATGACTTCCCAATCAGCGACTTCAAAATTTATGGGGTAATATATATTTATTATTATTATTATTATTATTTATTTTTAAAGCGGTGGTTAGTAATCATTTTCTTCCTCGTTCCTCGTGCACATTGCCCATTTCGAGGCCCACGATACTATTAGCTTTAAATACCACTAGATCACCGATTTGCTCCTCACTTTACAGATCCTTTTCGGCTTTCTTATCCTTTCACGACTTCATCTTCCCCATTCTGTCGCTGGTTTTAGGGTTTTCTCTGAAGGACGGTTTCCCCAATTTTGACTTGGAGGCTTAGCGTGATTTGGTTTTTAATCCCCTTCTCAAGCTTTAATCCGCACCAATTCGCGGTTAGGTACGTTTTTCCTTTCTTTCCCCGCTTCTTGCCCTGGATCCCTCAAGTCTGAGGTGATTTTGACATTTTTGGGTCTTTCGATTTTGCTACTCTAGGAGCCGAAGTATTCCCCTGTCTCGTCTTCCTCTCTTCTTGGACCCTTACTCCACAGTTAGAATTTTTGCCATTAGTTTTCGGTGTCTTGCTCCTTGGGCTCTCAAAGAGTGTTTCTCCGAGGTGCCTCTTCTTTATAGGTCTTTTAAGCTTCCTTATTCTTGTCCAGCTATGTCTGCTTCCTCTGAAGCTACGGGATCGTCCATTTCGCTAATGAAAGATGGGTCTGTTGAGGAAAATTCCGGGGGATGTGGGGTTAAAGATAGATGATTTCCCTATAGTGGATTCTATCAATGTCGAGAGAGGCACTGAGGAGCCTGCTCTTGCCTTGAAATCTCCTAGCAAAGACAAAACCAAAGTAAGTGGTGTGGGGATTTCAGGCAGTGCTGAGGGTGGTATTGCTGCCCCCCAGGGCCTCCGAGCTCGTGGGGTGTAGTGACATCGTTCCTTCTTACACGAAGGTGTTGGTTGCCTGCTTTGGGTTTCCTCAAGGCCTCCAATTCTGGAGTTCGGATATGTTTACCTTATACGATTCCTTTATCCTTAAAAAAGTGTGCTTCTTCCTAGCTGCTTTTGAAAACGACCTCTAATTTCTCCTGCATCCCTTCATCAAAAATGTTTTACAATATTTCAATATCTGCCCTACCCAGCTTTCTTCTAACTTTTGGGGGGTGTTAGTTGGTCTTCTTGTCTTCTTTAAGAAATATGATCTGGGTGTTCCCACCGTGTCTTTGCTCATAAAATTCTTCAATGTCAAATATCTCCCCACTGATGGTTTTTTGTACATCTCTAAACGAGTGAATCCGGTCAGACCTTAGTGCCGCAGAAGAACAGGTCCTAAGGAACTTGGCAAACTACAAATCGGAGAGATATTCAGAGCTAATCCGACCTCAAGTCCTTGTGAGGCTTGAATTTAGTCCTCCTGAAGTGAGGGTAGAAAATTCATCTCCTCTTTCTACAATTAGTGCTGAGGAATTGGCAGGTAATGCCCCTTTCACCTCTGCCCCTGCCTTTTACCTCTTCTCCTTCCCCCTTTTTTTTCTTTCATTTTTTTTTGACGGTTCTTTCTCGATTTTTTTAG